CTTCAATTGAAATGATTATTACATATATATATGATTTTTTTTTTAATTTGTCACCTAGGAACGTATACCCTATAATCCCATATAAACTACCATTCAGTATTCACGGTTTCTGTATTCGCGGCATTTTTATGGAACGTATATCCCGCGAATAAGGAGCTTTTCTGTACTTATTATCCAAAGGCCACAAGAATTGTTGTCATGTGGCTTTTTTTTTTAGCCTGATTATGATTAGAGAAAGTTATTTTAAATAAAACAACTAATTTCATGGCTTTGGGCGGTGAACAGTTCATCTGTCATGCGTATATCAAAGTGTCGTTTCATCCCTATGTCTGTCACAATGCTACTTATTTAGAGCTTACTTTTGGTCAGAGTACAGTCGAAAATTGTGTGGGTTTTCATCCACAATTAAGATGGTTAATAATCGAATCAACTATGAACAAAAAAGTTGTATGTTTGTTAATCTGGAATGTATCGGACTGGACTGTGTAAAAAATTTAATGGATTAATCTCTCTGTGTCTCGTATAAGTTTAATGTGGTCCTTTCTTTGACGTAATACGCTGATGGCCGGACAGAAGTGAGGCAAGAGAAAGAGACAGGGAAACCACTGCAGCCAAGTCCATGTGCGCTTAATAGGTAAATGTTACGCCCTTAACGACTAAGCGCTCATTATAGCGGGACACCATTGAGTTGAGAGTCAGTTGCGATTCTTGAAGGTATATAAAAATATATATGTATATTTTATTTTAACAAAGCAGGGCTAGAAAGAAAGAGAGGCCATCTCCGTCTCTTTTATGCATAATTTTTAATAATTTGTAAAATTTTACTTAAAGTATAGCGACTAATTACTGCGTACAAAAATGTTATTATAATTTATGATCGCCTTTGTATCACAGCAGATTGTTCTTAGCAAGCTGTAGAGATTTTTGAATATAGTTCATAACAGCAGTGGCTCTACAATGAGAAAAAATTCATATAATTTTAGATTCGTATGCTTTTACAATTTAGAATCGTGTAAAATCTTGGTTAGATGATATGCGATTTATGATTAATGATATTTTTATTCAAACTCGATGTAGTCCGTTCTTTTTTATGTGCTGTGTGGAAAATTACTTTGTCCTCTCAAAACCGTATCTTAATTTATAGGAAAACTTTAAAAAAGTTGGAAACATTGTTAAGCAGAGATATGGTTAAAAATTTTAAGGTAAGAGAAACTCAACCGAGTGTATGTTAAGAAAGAAGCTGCAAAAAATTCAATATGTCCTTATATACCGCGCAATGTCACCTTTTGCAATTCTTCAACTGGCTTAGTCATCGAAGAGACGAAAATTAGATCTTCTTGTCATTTGACGAAAATTAGATCTTCTTGTAAAAGCCCAAATCTGTAACTACATTGCTCCGAATTTAAAGTAAAGTTATGTAATATCTACCGCTCTTGAGTACTGAACATACGACCAAAGGGCTCGGTTAAAAAAAAAAGAAGTAAGTTTTATTTTGCCTTGTATTTCACTAATATTTTTCAATAATTTTCGTCAATATAAAAAATAGTCTGAAAAGTATACCTATGTACTCTACAATTTATAAGTTAAATAAATATTTTTCTTTATAAAGCATAGAAACTTATTCTTAAATGTTGTTACGTTATGACATATAGTTGCGAGGTGGGGACCTATTTCGTCGTATTATTATAGCCACCGCTTTAGAATGGAGATTTATTTTGTTTATGGTATAGTCTTGATCAGCATGAACTTCTGAATTTATTAAGCCATGTCTGTGCGTCTGTGTGATGTGTGTTAATGGCAATCTGTTGATCGCAAAAGTGAAGATATCGACTTCAAATTTGGTAAAAACATTTTTTAAGTTAAGGAAGTTTTTGCACGCAGCTTGGTATTGGCAATGAGCAAATTTGGTTAGAACAGAAGACTTTAGTGGAGCGTAATTTGAACGTTTCTCTGAACAAAAATTATCATTACTTTATGAAAATCCGCCTGAGTGGCCGAGTAGGCAAGAGTCTCGACTAGCAACTCAATGGTCGTGGGTTCAAATTTCAAGTGCGGTAAAGTTTTTAATAAAACCGAAAGCCTTAGATGCTAGTGCTTTAAGACTTTAGCTTTAAAATTTATTCTCTGGCTGAATTTATAATAATAATAATAATAATAATACTTTAAGAAACACTCTACTCCTGACGTTCAAAGTTGCAAGTGATCAAATTTTCTTTTTCTCACTACATTCCTCAATAACGCGAACTGGTGGATTAATTTTTTCTTAATAATACTAACGACATGGCTATCATATAAAGGCCTCGGAGAGTAGAATGCGACAAGCTAAGTGTGTTCATCCTAAATCAATTGTGGTAGCCGTCACGTTTAGTGGGAGTGTGGACTGTGATGAAGATTTTAATAGTGATGGTTATGCGAAATTCTTGATATGTTCTTATATTATTAAAATTCTTTTGCTCTGACATCAAATAAGGTATTTATACTTACTGACCATTCGTAGTGTTATCTAAAATTTTAACAGTAAATGGACTGCAAAGCTGTGGTTTCATAACATACACATGCGCCATGTATGCCTGAGTTAAAGGATACGTAATTAATCGATAGGAAAAATTTAGGAAAAATTTGAAGCATTTATTTGTAGTTTTTGAATTTGCAATTTTGAAGAGTTGCCACAACGTTTGAACAGCTTGTAACACCGCAAAACAAAATAGGGCCCGCTGCGGATAGAGAAAATAACATAGGCCAGCGCAACATGAAGCTAAAGCATGATTGATTTGATCCGAAAAATTATTGAAATGATTCAAACAGCAATGGATTGACTGTAAGCAAAAGAAAAACTAAATATATATTTATATTCAAAAAAGTGTTCAATAAAATTTTAAAACTGCAACCATTGTGAAGTCATGTTGAAGCTGAAGCTGAACATATTGTCCTTAGCATTAGTAAGTTTTCTCTTTATGATTAGTTAGTTGATTAACGAATGAAAGCATGAAGGATGAGAATGTAAGTAATATTTGCAAGATTCGGAGATATGTAATATTGATGTTGTACTATCTTACTGCTGAAAGTTCGGAATTATTCTATACCTTTGCTCCAGATGCAACTCATTTTCCTGGCTTTTCATAGTTTGTCATCTATTTTGGGGTAGAATCTTCATATGCATGGTCAGTTTTCAAGTGGTGCGAGAATTCGAATTTTATCTTTTCATCACAGATTTTCGTCTTCCATCATTTCAAGAATACACAATCACATCGTAGATCACATTGCAATAAAATATATTCTAAAAAAGGAATCTCTTGCTAGTAACTACCTTTTCTTTGATATGAAACGCAGTAGAGGTGGAATCACATAGAGAATGGGATAAATAGTTTTTATGATTACTTAAAGTTATTTACCCGGTATAGAGCAATATACAGGCAAGCTAACGGAGCTGAAAACAATTGAAAATGTTTCAATTTGCTCCACAGATCTGGTGAAGGCGGTTGAGTCGACGCCCTTTTAAAGATCGCTGCGAAATCCAAAGCCAAGCCAGTCAAAAAATAGTTACGAATACCAATCCACAAATGATTGCGACAACTCATGTCCTTATGATGTAGATGACAGTGGATTTTGGATTTCTCCTCTCCATTGCGTACAGCTAACCTGTTTGGCGTAGCTATCCAAACCTCTTTCATATTGTATTCGCGTTTTCCATGTAAAATCAAACCACTACACATCGCAAATATTATCGTCTGTAGGAGTTTAGATCCGGAAACTGTTCTACTTATCACATTTTTGCGTCTCAGAAGTGTTTCTATAAACTGTTTAAATAAGTATAAATTTGAAGGCTAGAGATTTGATCTAAAGGCTTCATTTCTAAGCTAGAGATCTAAGGTCTTAACTTCTAAGTAAAAAAATCGCTTTTAATTATCAAAAACGATCCCCGAATAAAGATTTCACGATCGCGCCTACCCAAAAGGCATATCTCCTCTTTAGCTATTGTAGGTCCGCTTGAGCAAGTTTATCTACTCTTCAATCAATCTAACCTATCCCATTTTTATAAAATCCTCTACCGATCCGAGGTTACCTTTGATGGTTTATGCAGCAACTCGGCCATTTTTCGCACGATGTCAGTATTGAGTTGCAGACGAAGGATGATAAGATATCTTCAAGACTATTTAGCATCTTCGCGACGGAGGACATACTGTAATTACACATATATACCTCTGCTGCAGATATTCTTCGAAAATAAAAGTGATATGTCCATTAATTAGGCCCTTTAATAAGATTACTCGACCTTCTCAACGCTCTTAGTCAGCCGCTTACGACTTGTTCCTATATGACACAACAAGTTATTCCTAGCCCTGTCGCTTTCGTTTTTTTAAATGCATTCGCCTTTAGCGCAAACTCGGGAAATTAGTCCCCTTTCGGTCCATTTCAGATATTTCCACCTATCAAATCGGACGAGCATTGGAACTGATCCTTTTTTCTCCCTTCTGTATCTGTAATCATTCCTTACCATCACATTACTTATCTGTACAGCGACCATAATTCGCAATAAAAAGTAAGAAAAAGCAAAGATCCCTTTTTCACTGTTCTCCGTTTCATTACAGCGGCTGCGTCACCTTTTCACAGCTTTTGATCGTCCAACCTCCTCATAGTCTAGTCTTTCCTTTATCATTTAGATTACTTCCTACCGCATCCCATCATAACAGGCTAAGGTCTCTCAACTCTACTCAATTTTCTGCTAAGTCCCATAATTCATAAGTTAGCTTACTATTTTGCGCAGGTTGTTCATGATAACACAATCGCGGCTTGCACTTATTTTAATATCGTTTAAAACATTATATAGCACAGACTTCACAATATGTTCGGGCTGGCTAAGATGTTTTTAACGCGCTTAAACGATGTCAAGAAATTTACCTAATCCCATTTGGAGATTAAAATGCCTTTAAATAATTTAAAGCGAAATTATACGACGTTGAGCTTATTTAGCTCGGCTAATGTCCGCATATTCGTGCAACAAAAACCTAAAGGAATTATATAAGACGTCGTAGGTCAAGTTGAACTAAACGGCGTTTTACTTTGACATTCAAATCAAAGTCTTCGATAAACAAGTCGAGAATAAAATAATAATAATAATATAGATGGTATTTTCTGCTTAACATACACATTGATAAAAGACATCGGCTGCTATTTGCCCTGCTTTCGAATCAATCAAAAATACGCAATAAGAAGACAGCAGACAAGGTACGAAACCTGTTGTATATAGAGTGAGTCTTCCGAGTAGATTTCTAAAAAGAAAAATAAAGGAAAAGAAAGATATTATGTTGCTCATCACATTCCGCTGTTGATCTTGTCTGTTATGTGCTTTACAAATCTTAAGATAGCGGCGAAGGTACAATTAGTTGGAAAGATAATAATTTCATTAAACTGGTTCGTATATAAGAGCCTTTCCGCATGAACGTCACCTTATTGAGATATTTTCTCTGTAGGTTCACTTGCCGAGAATTTACGTAAATGTCTGCTGTACTGATCCAATTCCACATAAGGAAAGTTACCTTTCGCTTCGTTAAACCAGTATCAGATCAAAGAAATGTTACACTGACGTAAGCATTCAATCTCTCCATCAAACAAGTTGAAGACCGTCGTCTCAACAAGTTGATAATTCCACTAAATAGTATCGGCTGAGCCAAGATATAATATCCCTAGAGATAAGTGTGCTCTTATCAAGCATTCAGCTTTATGGACCATTTTGGGCAACCGCTTGAATTTGTGTGCCCTCAAGCTGTTAATTTAACAGTCCAACGATTACAATTTCACTTCGCGGTGACCGTTGGTCGTATTGGATCTAATTTTATTTAATTTTTCAATTTCAAAATGAACGGAATTACTTAAGTCTAAGGCTATTCGAAGGTCTACTTGATATATACTTGATAGGATGGCCTTTTGACCATTTTCCATTCTTTCGACGAACAACACTAAGTCGTAGCAGTAAATGGCAGCCA